TAGCCTGAAGCTGTGCCAGGGGAGGTTCAGGGTGGACATCAGAAGGAGTTTCTTCACAGAAGGGTTGTCAAGCATTGGCAGGGGCTGCCCAGGGAGGTTTGGAGTGCCCATCCCTGGAGGTGTCCAAGGAAGGGCTGGATGTGGCACTCAGTGCTCTGGGCTGGGGACAGGGTGGGCATTGGGCACAGCTGGGACTCCAAGGGCTGGGAAGTCTTTTGTCTGAATGATTCTGTGAAGCACACAAACCAAGCTGGCTCAGAAGCTGCTGATTAAAAAAGCCAAAATCAAATGAATCCTTTTCAGAATGGACTCATGCAGAACATGAAGGCAGATTCTTCTGGGGGAAAGTCACCCAGGCTGATAGTTACAGAAGGGGTATGTTCAGTGTCCACAGGTGAGGACAGCAAACTGCAGTCCCAGAACTTTCCTCGTCAGACTCTACAAGTGCATGGAGCAATGCCAGGGACCTCTCCCCAGTGACAAACACAAACACTGTTAAGCTCTTAGGTGCAAGTGACAGATGCCTCCCTCTGCTTCTAAACTGTAAAAACCTGTTTTAAATATCAAACACAATTATGAGGAAAACAGAAAATAGTCCTCAAAGAATAGGGTTTTTTTAAAGTTAATATTTCTGCCCTGCTTAATCACAAGCTGAAAGGAGTACTTGATGACTGGCGTATACTTCAGTTAACACTATTTCATAAAGCCTGGCTTGACAGAAGTATAAGATAAATTAACCAAATAACACAAAAGCTGAAAGATGCACCAGCTGGCTCGTGCCAGCAGAGGTACACCAGCCCTGAGCAGCAGGCAGTGCTGCAGGAAAGGAGAACCAAGTGGGCAGTGCAGGCCCGTGCCCAGTAGTGCTGTGTCAGGGGCTTGCTTAGACTGCTCACCCCAAACCACCCCTGTCTCTGGGTGACACTGAGGGACACGACATGGTGGAGCAGGCAGCTCCAATGACTCCTTCTTACAGTTTAAGGTCAGGGACTCTCACAATGAATAGATATTATGATATTGAGTATTTAAGACTCACAGATGTGCTGCCTGTTCTGTTTGCAGCTTATCAAAGCTTTATATGAAGGCACAATTTATGCCATGTTAAAAGCTTTTACAAATAAGAAACTGTTTCCTCTAAAAAAGATGTGAGAGAATATTGTTTGTTTCTCCCAGAAATAGCATGCATTCCTCTTCCTTACAGCATCACAGTAAAGATTACTTCCTTATGACATTTGAAAATGAGCCAAACACCATGGAGGAGAGATTATTGTTTAGAATCAAGTCCTCATGCCCAAGAGTCCCTAAACAAAAAGCAATGCCTGTGACATAACCCACCACGTGAGGAAGTTTACAAAGTGCTAAAGAATGATTTAAAGAATATTCCATTACTGACAAATGGTGCTAAGCAAGGCCTGGCCTGGGTTGGAAATATTCTATTCAGTACCCACAGGGCTCAAATGACTTTGGTGGTGAGTGTGAATGGAAATCACTAACACCTCTGACACAAGAATGTGATCAGAAGTGTTCTTGTCTCTGGGCACGTGAAGGGCAGAATGCTATCCTGGATATTCCATAAAACACAAATTTACAATCTCATCTGCACTAAAACCTGAAATGAATTAATGAATTACAAAAATAAATAAAAGGGAAAGAGTTTCACTACACAGGAAGCTTCTGCATGAGGCTCCAAGGATGGTAATAACCAAAGTGGTCTTTACCATTTCTCTGTGGACTTAAGAGCAGGAACATAAACACTAAAAATACTTTGACCAACCCCCTGCTACTGCTCCATCTTTTAATGTGTTGCTTCCATATTTGTAATGTACAGATTATTCACATACAATTTCAGCTTTAGGTTTCCAAGGCAGTGTATACACAAACCAGAAAGTACAGCACCAGTGCTGCTTCTGGCCTTAGACTGGATGTTGGTATGTCTGTAAAGGGATTTAAATTCTGAATTCTCCATACTTCAAGAATGTAAAGCACGATATCACTTTATTAATCAGATGTCTCCCACTGTCTTTCCTTGTTCCAGTGTTTGTCTTGCACTTGCATAGCAAGCCTCCAGTGAAACCCTCACCACCTTAATCAAGAGTTGCCTGCACACAACATTTGAACTGTTAACTTCACTCAACTCCTAACTGTGGAGTACTTAGGAGAAGTTACTGACTCAAGATCCTACTGGAACCAGCTGTTTTTGGCAGTGTTTTTGGGTTACTGCAATCACCTATCAACAGTCCATCACTTACCAGAACTGGCACAGAAATGGGTTCCTCATTGCAGAAAAAGAAACTGAAGCCTGTGAATACACTTGTTTCCTTTTACTGACGTTATCCTTGCTCTGTCAGCTGCCTCGTGAGCATCATGAGTTTTTTAAACTTTTAATAATAATTACAGAACACAACCTCATGTACCCACCATCCTTATGGTCAGAGATTCTGGAGGACTGAAAATGGGAACACAGGTGCACCAGTGTATCTGGGGTTGCTATTTTCTGCCCAGTTGCCACAGCAGAAGCCGGGAGGTCGCTGCCTGTGACTGTGCCTTTGTCACCCTGGGCAGTAATTCCAGCACAGCAGCACCAAGGGAATGGGGAACAGCTCTTCAGGCTCAGCAGGGCTGGGTGGCAGAGAGGCAGAGAGCTGCTCAAGCACAGGGGAAGAGAACTCATTGTGTAACTCTCAGATCAGGCAGGTCAGTGAGTGATAAATTTGGACAACTCCAGGGTCAAATGACTTCTGAGCAGAACTTTTTGGAATAATAATTTTGGTCAAAAGTACTGAAGCTCTGCCCAAAACCCCTTTCAGAGTTCACGTTCTCATCTACATCTGGGTTCCTATAACATCTTTGGTCTCAAATTCTGCTGCTGGAGAATGGAATTTGTATAATGTCTTGAAAACATAAAAGCCTCAGCTCTGCAGCTGAAGGACTTTTCAGACCAGTCATTACAGAAACATGTCTGAGGTACTGGGGTTACTATTACAAGGAAGTAAATAGTGGTTAGAATCATATCTCCTCACCATCAGAAAAATTACTTGTATATTAACTAAATAAAGTTACCTTTGACTCTATTAAAAGTCTTACTTTGAAAACCAGATTACGTTTGTATAAAAGTCCTTCAGATATCTCCTCATGCCTCCAGGTGAATTACTACTACCAAAACATTTAGTTATGATGTCTCCTGCCTCACCAACCATGTTCCCTGTCTGCACCCTACTGAGAATTGAATGCTTTATCACTTTCCCCACCTTAAAATTCACAGATCCTGGTCCTCCATATCAATTACATCTACCATACCTTTGGTCTGATGCTCCCACATCCCAGCTGGCACCTCAGACATCTGGAGCTGCAGACAAGCCATGGCTGTACCTTCCAGCTCCATGGTCCTTCCCCTCTTGAACTAGCCATAAATTAAATAACAGGCATGTAAGAATGATTTAAACACATGCAATTATCCTTTTTGGAACTGAACAAAATATCACATCTCACACTACCAAAAGTCAACTAAAGCCATAGAGGGGTGTGATCACTCACATTTAAAGCTCAGGAAACTGCCATGCTTCCATGCTTCCATACACTGTTAATCCCACTAAGTCTGAGCGTTTTTAATCACTATTGCAGTGACACAAAATTCAGTGCATCTCTGTGCTACAGACCACACACAGAGAACAGGCCTGGAGAACAGCACAGGTCACCTGTTTGCTGGTCTTGATCAGATGAGCACATTCAGAGAGCTTCTACCAAAAATGCTTGAGGTTTTTTATTAGTGTTCAGGATCATAATGGATATTCCTTGTCAACTGCCAAGGTTGAAGTTTTCTGTGCTCTAACTTGCACAAAATTATTTTGCAAGTTTAAACCAGAATGGCTGCAATTTAAAAAAATGTACCCAGGTAGAAAGACAAGTGGCTTTCCTCACATGGAGAAACACCTACTCTTTTGAGACAGTCTATTATCTTCCTGCTTTATCTGAAGTTAAGCAGAAGGCTGGCTCCAGCATAATACTGAGTATCATCTGGTGCAGAAAAGGATTTGAGGAGGAGAAATAAAGGAGGTAGAGAGACAAGATGAGAACAGCATTAAGGAATAGGTAAAACAAAGATGACAAAAGTTAAGGGTGCATAAGGGTGACGTGAAAGATACGTGAGCAGAGACAGTGGCGGAGGCAGAGGGAAGTGTAACAGAGAGCAGGAATTGCAGGAGGGTTAGCAGAGGAAAGGGGTGTTTTTGATACAGCACTTTGGGCTTCAGCGGCAGCCCCATTTCTGGCGCGGCGCTGCCAAACTCCGCTGGCCCACGGCGAGCCCGGCCCCGGCCCTTGGTGCCCTGCCCTCGGCACAGCGGCACCGCCACCTGCGGGCGGCCCGCGGCAACTGCAGCGGGCACGGCTGGGATCCCCCGGGAAACCCGGCCCGGGCACGGCTGGGATCCCCCGGGAAACCCGGCCCGGGCACGGCTGGGATCCCTCGGGAAACCCGGCCCGGGCACGGCTGGGATCCCCCGGGAAACCCGGCCCGGGCACGGCTGGGATCCCTCGGGAAACCCGGCCCGGGCACGGCTGGGATCCCTCGGGAAACCCGGCCCGGGCATGGCTGGGATCCCTCGGGAAACACAGCCCGGGCACGGCTGGGATCCCTCGGGAAACCCGGCCCGGGCACAGCGCGGGCACGGCTGAGATCCCTCGGGAAACCCGGCCTGGCACGGGCGGGAAGGGCTGCGCCACAGGGACACGGACTCCCTGCCCAAAGGACATTCATTGAGTGCTGCAGTGAAGCCTCGGCGCTGCAGAGCATCGCACGGGGCACAGACCCGGCTCAGCAGCACTCTGACAGCAGCCACCGTCCCAGCAGAGTGCCAGTGTCACACACACAGAGGATGAACCCAGTCCCCAAACGCACGGGGACTGATGCAGGGGAACCTTGTCCCCACACAACAAGCGTTACCACGCACTGCTAGGGGTGATCCAGGCCCAACAGTATCATGGAATAAGTTACACAAATGTTAGGCAAGCTTGGGCTTTAACTTACAAGTCTGTGATTATACAAAGTAATTTACAAAGTTCAATTTCTTCAGAAATATTAATTTAGCTTCATGACATCCCAGTGAAATGTAAATCATTGTATTTATATTATCCAAGACAAAACTTCAGGCAATAATTCCAATACAGTACTGGGCTTGACTGTAAGTCCTCTAAGGATCTTTACCAATGTCCTCCTTGGTTTCATCCTTCCTCTTCTACTTCTGGTTTTTATACTGAAAAAAAAAAAAAAGATTTTTTTTTGTGGAAAAGAGCACATAACTAAGTAAAAGTTAATACCAATAAGAATTTACAACTCTTCTTCATGATCCACATAAATTTGTGTCCATTTTCTTTAAGTTAGATTGAAATTTGGGAGGCTTTCCCTTTGGAGTATAAAACAATAGATCAGGCACAGTTATTGACTAGATTGTACCTGCTGCTAAAATATCATAATCTGGGACTAATCTGTGCTCACTCCTGTAACAATTCTCATTTGGATTTCATGGACTGGCAGAGAGAAGGACTTAACAGTCACTTAGTAAATTAAATCACAGATATTTAGAGAGAAAGTTGAACTTTTGACTTCATTATACACCATTCAGAACTTGCTTTCCAATGTTTTCTTCTTTGTTCTGAACTGAAACCAAAATGCAGACAATCCGAGGCGCTTACTTTATTCATCACCCAGTCAGCATCTTCAATGGCTCTCTTAATGATCTGCTGGATTCGCTCAGGATCGTCTTCATCAGCATGGACTTTGAAACTCTGCAACATTCCAACAACACAACGGTTGTCAAAATAAAGACAGCATTTAGATCTCAGAAAAATATTTGTTGCAAATAAACTGATGGTCTAAAAAGGTAAAACTAGTAACATCCTCTTTCCATAACAAATCTGGTCATATGGAATTTCACGTTAAGTGTCTTACTCCTTTCATACATAAACAACAAAACCCCAGAGAACTTCAATTCAAAACAATTTAAATTGTCAGGTATGTTAAAATAGAAAGAGGACAACGGGTATGATCAAAGGCATGAAATTACTTCCATATGAAGAATAGAATATGAACAGCCAGATGAGATTTCCCCCAATGGGGGGATATACAAATGACTGACACGGAACCAGTAGGTTTCACCATAAAATATGTGTTTATGGTGTTAGTAATGACTGTTCACTCTCTTGACTAACACAGAAATTAGAGACGAAAGCCAAGAAGAACAGGTTTCAGACTGAAAGCAAAGGAAAAGAAGCGGTCCCGCACCCACCCGCACGCAGCCCCGCGGTCCCGCTAAGGTGTCGGGCTGCAGGGAGCAGGGCACGCACCTGGCGGATGGCGTGCCGGTAGTGCTGCCGGACGGGCCCCGCGGGCAGGCGGCGGCAGCAGCGCAGCAGGTACCGGTACAGCTGCAGCGAGCTGCGCACCAGCTCGGCCCCGGGCAGCGGCGGCATCCCGGCCAGCGGCCCGCAGCACAGCGAGCCACGGCAGCGCCGAGCCACAGCACACAGCCTGCACGGGCCGGCACACCGGGCTGGGCAGCAGCACCTGCGGAGACCTCAGAACAAACCCCAGTGAGAACCTGCTGTTTCTGGGCAGACAGACGGGGGTGGCCTGCTGTCCTGCTCAGGGGAGCACAGCACTGAGTGAGCAGCTCACTCCAGGGATGGGGACAGCCCCAGTGTTTCACAGGCAGACTGCCAGGGTGACTTGTGGTGAGTACCCAGACCTGTGCCACAGCCCACAGCCAGCATCCTTAAAGCCCTTCAAACTTCCAGTGCTTTCCTCCAGCATCCCTAGGAGTTCATCACATGGTGTCTTTTTGGAATAAGGACGCTCATAATGGCTACAAATGGTGCTGGAATTTAACAGTATTTCCTATTTTGTCATTCTGTCAAGAATTTCAAGGCTTCAGCTGGAAACAACATGGATAAATACAGGAGAAGAGAGACAGAAACATTGTTACGTTTGAAATCTTACATGGATTGGTAACAGCAACAGGAAAAGAACAAATCTCCCAAGTTTCACTTCCATAACTATATTTATATGTCGTAACAGTAAGTCCATCCAAGTCCTATAAAGTGCTAATCAAAGACTGTAAATGCCTTGTCATTTAACAGATGGTTGCCATCTGCAAAGAACTAAATTAACATTTGGAAAAAGGCACTTTTTACATCATTACTCTTAAGGATGAAGATAATAAATAAACAACTGAATAATGAAGTAGGTGCAAGCCATTGTTTTAGCACCCATTGTGATACCTACTCGTTACTTGAAATATTTTTTTCCTTTTTCTTAAGTAATTTAAGTCCTTTAGCCAAATGTATTTCAGAGTACATCACGACATGTACTATTACATGTCTGGGCTGTATATTTGCACAGACTAAATCTTGTTACAGTGGGGAAAATCTCTTCTCCATGCACCTATAAATGCTCATCATAATGGGATCCAAATACCACCAAGCTTCAACACATTCATCTCTTGTTTTCTTCCAATGTTTTTTTTCTGTAAAATATCCTTTTCTCTTTGCAGTGAAACCTATGCTGGGCATCAACTCCATGCATTTTTGGTTTGGATTCATTTCACTTTGGCACTCAGGTAGGGGAGGTGATTACATGCCCGACAGTCAGCTGAGAGATCCCTGATTCCCCTTCAAGCAGCACAAAGACAAGCAGCTCCACAATGTGACTCCTAACACATAGACTGAATTACTCCCTGCCCTTCTCCCCATGAGAGAGAGAAGCTTTTATCATCCACTACAGAAAACTGGAACTTGTAGTTGGATTCAAATTGATCTGAACCCAAATTTAACTTTGCACACAAGTTTTTTTGGCTATATTCTTGGCTGGTAAGAATTTGTATAATTCCACTGACCCTAAGAACCCAACCCTGCATTTCACATATTCCCACTTAATACACTGAAACATCCCAAAATTCAATACAGATCCCAAAATACACTTTGGGACCAGAGCCAATTTGTGAAGTTGTTTCTAGGCTTTGATGTGTAAACTCATCATATGTCACTGTGCTCTAATTAAACCTAAGTGGTGCAATAGATTTCCTGTCACAAATGCAAAGATCCCTCATGTGCTGGGACTGTCCAGGACAGCTTGCTCCAGCACACAGAAAGCAGCTCTGGGAGAGAGGAAGGAACCAGTCATGGAAACATATGGATATGGAAAGATGAAGCTGATCAATAGAATTGAAAATGGTTCACTATAGATAATTAGGAATTTTCCACTGCAGTAATTTTTCATAGGAAAATGATGAGCTGTTGAATTCAAATTGTGTGATAAATACATTTGCATGGATGAATTTTTTTCATCCTTTGCCTTTCATAAATACTGGACTTTCTAAAAGGTTTGAAGATGGAAATTTTCACCCCACCTATTATCAAACTTAAACTCCTATGAGGCTCTCATATTCAAATTTAAAAACCAAACCACTTGAGTTCTGACAGATTCATAGCTCCAAAAATGCTACAAATGCTGTGATGTGGACAAGCTTCACAGGGAAGTTTATCACAAAGATCTATGTTTTTCTTAGGATGTAACTTCATCCACTGAAAACTTCACTGGAAATTTACCACAGCACATGGGAAACTTCATGGCTGTTTTGGTAAAGTGGCTATTTAATAAGAAATAATCTCATGACCTGCCCATTGTTAAGTTCTGAGATACTGATGCCCTGTACAAGCACACCTGACAACAGGTAATGCTACACCCTGATGCACTGGAATGCAATCACAGCCTCTGCTGTGATTTGCCCCCTTCTTGGCACAAAAAGGACAATGAAGCACAGTAAGAATCTGCACTGTTGCCTTTTGTTCGGAAAACATCTCCTCTCGAATCCTACAAATGTTACCAGTTTTATCTGCCACGCAAAAACCCTCAACTTCACAAAAACTGGCTATAATCCTGACTAATAATGTAAATCTCCCTCTGATAACTTAAATATCGTGCACAGCACAACAAACAAACTATCTACACCAAGAACTGTTGAGTCAGAAATAAAATAATCCGCTAATTGTGCTTTTCTGGAATGGATGACTGTATAATGTCCTAATCAGAAGGCTGAAATCACATTTGCATTTAGATAAAGCCCCGTTCACAAAGAGACAAGTATAAAAGGAGACACTGAGACTATTGTGGCATTTCTCTGCATTGCATAATCATTTACATTCCTGATAATGATATTCAGATAGTGAAGCAAAGGCTGACCAAAGCCAATTAATCTTCACTCTGCCTTAGCAGGTTTGGCAATCGAGCCCGTGCACAGCAGAACCCTGATGAAGCTCATGCTATGCCACTGCTCTCAGGTTTTTTTTTTCTGCTACTGTGTTTTTCAAGCAAATCCCCACAGTTCAACAGTCATGATCCCAATCCCTCCGAAGTAGTTAAGCAGCCACCAAAGCTGGGCTCCAGAGACTAGGAGTGTTAATTAAAGGACTGCAGAGTTACCTGAGCTGTTGCTGTTTACAGGGTGGCTCCTCCTTCCTGCTCAGCCCTCTCCCCCAGTATACTGGCTAGAGATGTGTTTTACCACTTTGAAGTATTACACCCTCAGAAGTCTCAACTCAGGAATTTATGATTCCCCATCCTTATCAAACCTCATGATCTCAGGAAAAATAAGAATGCCAAAATAACAAAGGAATTTGAAGCCTTTTGAACCCTCTTTAACTATAAAACATCTCAGTTCATGTTGTGCCATCAGTCCAGGAGGGCACCCAGGTGCACTGCTGCTACCCAGAAGGTTCCTCCTTGGTCACATCCATGCTCCCTTCCAGGTTTCCCAGACTGAGCTGTGATCCAGCCCCGAGTGGCTGCAGCAGGGGCAGGACTCCCACCCTGGGACACAGCTCCATCACTGCTCGTGACACTGCCACACCTGCCCTCAGTCCCCAGCGGGCCACGGCAGCGCCTGGCACGCCCAGGGCAGCGAGAGGGGCTCTGGTGCCGCGGCACACAGCCAGTGTGTGCCGATCGCTTCTGACCGGCCGGGCCGGCACTGTCGGGGTTTTGTCCTCTCCAAACACGGGCTGCAAAGTCCCCTTGCGGCAGGGATGGCAGCTGTCTGTCTGTCTGTCCGTCTGTCTGTCCTGCCTGCTGGCGGCACTGAGAGCCCAGCCCTGAGCGTGGGTGAGCACGGACAATGGTGCCGTCAGCCCCAGCAGCCGCACGGCGCTGGCTCCCACCGCGATTTGATGCGATCGCTTCTGACCGGCCGGGCCGGCACTGTCGGGGTTTTGTCCTCTCCAAACACGGGCTGCAAAGTCCCCTTGCGGCAGGGATGGCAGCCAGGCCTGCTCTCTTCTATTTCTGCTCCTCTCCCCTTTATGCTGCGATTGATGCACGAGGCAGAAGCAATGTCAGGTGGCTCTGCAGAACAATTCGGGGGGCACAGCCCTGCGGTGTAAAGTTTGCTTCACACGATATTTGTAGAGCACATGAAAGGTTAAGAACTGGCAAATGACAGATCCTGAAGATCTCTTTGTTGACAAGGAATCACCTCTGCTTGGACACCCTCCATGCAGTCCTACAGCATCAGGATCAGGCCTAATGATATTCAACAATGTCACCACTTTAGAAATATAAAATCTAATAAATTATAAATATAAATACAAAATATGGAATTGTAATTTATAAAACTGGAGAATGACCAAGAGTGCTAGAGCTGGGCATAATGACTACTTGTATAAATTAACCAAAGCCACGGGGCAGATGTCTTACCTTACAGCCTGGTTTGGTATCACACAGCACAGACATGCAATACTGCAAATAAAACACTCAGGCTTTTGCAATCCTACACCAATGAGGAAACATGCTGCCCATGCTGAGGCCAGATTACCTTGTTCTGTATAATTAATAAGCATGATCAGACTAATTAGAGTAACATTCTTTGGTGCATACTCACTAGTGAGGACAGGAACCTTCCTGGTTTAGGTGCAATTTAAACTTCTCCAATTTTTTCTCCTAAAAATCATTATCTCAGCTTAAAGGAAATTCTCAAAAGCACAGTCTCAAAAGAACTTTTTCTTCTCAGCTCTGAATTGCTCAGTACAACTGCTGTTAAAATTAATCTTGTCCACAGTGGCCAAATCTGTACGTATTTACCTTTGGGATCATGCCTGAATAGGAATTGAGTTATCAACTTTAAGCCAAAACTGCCTGATCATTCCTTTCTTGTAAATATTGTATTTTTAAATGATCCAATGCTTAGTTCCAGTTCAGCAATTGTGATTTTCCCAACTACTTCATGTCAGTTAGTGCACCAGCTTTCTGGCCGAGGCTGTATCACCTTCTGAAACATCCAAATGGGCACCAAATAAGCTGCCACAACTGTTCTTGACAGACAGATACCCAGCTGGCATGGAAGTGCCTTTGAAGGGCAAAACCATGCAGTCTGATTAATGACCACATTAACTCTATGGACTATGGCTCAGACAAGCATGGGAAAAATAGTAAGGCTTACATAAGGTTTTGTAGTGGTTTCTCACTGTTCAGGAAGGACTGAAATTGGTTAAAGTTTATTTTACCATTATTTTTTAACATATGTTT